AATGAGGACTAAAGGCGATGCTGATTGAAACTTGGTTCCAGCAGTGAAGGCAAATGAAATGTCATCCTGAAATGTGGCGCGCGATTAGAAAGGACGAGGAAACGCTGCTTGTTTTTTTACTGTGAATTAATTTTAATGAAGATATTTTAACGATTTGATTAAATGACAACATGCAGTGAGAAGTGTTTAAACTTAAAGCACAGCAGGTGAAGCTGTTGCCTGATCATATTAAGAATTATAACAAAAAATAAAGATTAAACAAGGAACTGGAGGTTTGAGTCCAGCTCATAAATCCTCTCTTTCAATATGTTTGTCATCAAGGAAACCCGATTACATCAGATCAATCGATCTCTGAAAGCCTCAATTCACACAAACTGCTAATAAACAGACTTTTAAATCTGGATTTTCAGAGTGTTGCTCCTTCCTGTAAACCAACAGCTTATCATCATGAGTGTGAGCAGACCGAGGCCTGACTGTGTGCGATTAGCAGAGACCTGGGTCAAAATAAACACAAAAGATTTCAACCAAAGACTTCACTTAGTGTTTTTGTTACTGTAGATGCACGAGTAAAGCTTGTATATTTTATAAGCAGGACTAACAGAATGATAGAGGCCCATACTAATGACTGGAACACACAAGACTGAGAGAAGTGGATCATACTGTTATCAGAATAATAAATTACCTCGATACCATCTCCAGTAATCTATATAAATACAGTCAACATAAGCTTCCAGGCTCCATGCAGCATTAATATAAACAGACGTGAACATAGCTTACATACACTTCCTAATGACTCCTATAACTCTTAATTTTCTATGATGGAATTACTGAAACACAAATAAACAATCACACATTGTTCACCCTGACTGTAGAACTCCTGGTTTGAGTCCTGCATTAAACGGACTGTTTCAGAGCTTTGAAAGCAGCTCACCTGCTGCTGTCCACGCCTCCTACAGGAAGAAGACTCTCTCTGCATCCGTGAGCACACAGCAGCTCACACAGGTGTGAGTCGGTGTGTGAAACCAGGACTTTCTATCAGAGAGCATCACACAACATTACAAATACAGAATCTGGAGTTTAGAGTCAGTGAGTAGCAGCTTGGAAATGTCTTAGTTGACTGCCAACATGGAGTCTGAGTAGTCTTTTATACTTTATTGGTATATAGCTGCAAGTCTACATTTGGAAATACAAGTAGAATGACGACACTTGATTTGGCTGCATGTATTTCTTCTTCTTGTTGACTCCAATCTATTTTTTCTGGTTTTGTTCTTGAGAGAAAAGCTGTGAGACTTCAGTGTAGCCAGGTCATATGTAGACCTTTATAAAAGCATGAGACTGTGTACATTTGTACAGTTTGGGGCTCTGAGTATTTTAAGAAATGGAGTCAGGCTGCATTTCAGTCACTTTTATACTTCATCGGTTGTCTGACAACTAAAACAGAAAACTGTGTTCATGAGATCAGCTTTACTGGGATTTCAGGTGGATTAAAATGCAGCATATGTGAGCACAGAGAGCAGGAGAGAAGTGACTGAGAAATGGTAATAGTAGGTTATTATAAAACCCTTATAGCTTTTATGTTACACCTACAAGTTTTTTGGGGTTTTTTTCTTTTCTTTTTTTCTCACCAATTTACTATATGGGTCATTTAAGCATGTGGGTTAGTTTGTCAGCTGTTGTCGGACCTTGTATTCGCCCTAAGAGTGAACTTTTAATAGTGGAGGTATTTCTCTAAGCAAGTAATATTAAGTTTTTAACCAATTAAATAGATTATTTTTAGTCAAAAACACATCAGCTCCAAATTAGGAGCATTTTTATGTCTTAAAACATTTTGGGAATTCATGCAAATTTGCAAAAGTTCAAAGGCGTCCCCTATAATGCAATTAAATATGCACTGGTGTCTCTTTAAATATGATTGGCAGCTACTTTACCCTGATTAAGACTTATTTTTTATTGCTGGTTTAATCATATAGTTATTTATTTATGACATAAGTCCCACCGAGTTCACGGAAACGTCCTCAAGCAACCAGTTTTTCCCACAGCGATCGACAAAGTACATCACATCATTATTCAGGCGGTGACTCGCGGTCCACGTACAGTATAAAAAGCTTTTCCTCTGATTAAGTCACGTCTAAATGCTTGAATCATTACACATGGCTCTCACACCTTTCTCATCGCTTTCCGTTGCCAGGCACGTCTATTTCCACGCCGGCCCGCCGCGCGCAGCAGGCGGTGGGAGCGTGCACACCGAGCAGCTGCTGGGACGAGAACCTGGAGCTGCACACACACTCACATATGTTAGAAACCTGAGCCGCTGACGGCTCGGCTCCTCGTTTGGTTATTTCGGTCCACGGAGAAGCAGAAGACGCATTCTGCTTTGTCTGGCCGCGTTTCAAACACACATAGAAGTGTTTCAGCAGGACTGAGAGGTATTCTTAATTCCCAGATAGAGTATCGACATGCGCTAATAAATAATCACATAAATCAATTTTACCGACGTAGGCTGTTTTTCCATTCTAGTTTATGTTTGACGGTGATGCAACAAGGTTCAGCTTAAAGTCATGATAAACACAGAATGAGAATAAAAGAGGGTTTTGGGGTGATATCAACAGGATCAAGTGGCATAAGGATAACAGCAGCAATAAAATCAAAAAAAGAAATTAAAACTTGAGTTCATGTCGCGTTTGTTTGTCAGGTTGTCTCAGTCGATGCTGTTGAAAACTAATAAGTGAATATTGCAGGTTAATCATTTAATAAAATAAAGTCTGTTCTTTCAGTCTGCAGCACCTACGCTGGTTTTAACACACTTTCTCCGTGTTGATTGTAATAACTCGCACTAATGAGCTTCATGGAGAAGACCAACACTCTCCTTGTTATGCAACAAGACGCATTAGAGCGAATCACCGGGGAATACGAGCTGAAAAATAAACGGGTTCCTTTTGTGCTCGGCAGAAGTTAATTCGCTGTAAGTTTTAAAATGAGATAATTGGGCATTGCTGGGTTCTTTATTTCTTTGTCTCTTCCAACCAGTTTATGTCTAACAAACAGAAATGATTCAGTAAAGAAGTATTCATGGATACAGAACACTTAAAAGACAGCATTTGCTTTTTTATTGTGATTTCTTCGTGCTTAATTTCTACTAAAACACTTTAGCAGTTACCGTGTAGGTAAAGCGGCTTTTGTTTGTCGTGCTTCTGATGTAGAAAAGTCTCAATAATTACATAATTCTTCACTTCACGTCGCTTTTCTTCTTCACACATCTGCGTTTTGTGCTTTTTAGGACTTGGAGGACACTTTCAGTTCCTGACATGAGATCCACGTTGTTATTTCTACAGCACGTCTAAATCAGGAATTATTATTAAGTAATGTTAGTGGATTATTTGTGTTTAAAACAGTGAGAGTGGGTTTGTATTTTGTGGTTTATGTTGTGCAGAGTAGTTGTGGTTTTGTGTTTAAGTTAGAGGATGTGGATATGAGTTGGTCTGTAGGAGTCTGTCGTGGTCAACATCTGTTTCTTTTACCTTGTTTTCCACTGTTTGCATTTGACAAACAGGTAAGCTATTGCATTACGGTTTGATGATTTTGATTAGATTCTTGTTGCTTCCGATCAATCTGTTTGTTATTTTGGCCTTTATCCACCCCGATGTCGACTTTACCTCCTTAAACCTTCTCATATATTATCTATAAATACACTGATTATCACATTTTAACAACCTGCCTCAGTTATATGAGGAAGATTAATCACTTTCACATCGTCAACCACCCCTTGACAGATGTAACAACGAGGCCATAAAGTTCATTTCAACTGATTAACATTTATTCTGTGGTACATAAATGTTTTTGTCTTGTTTCTCCAAAAGCAGATCTCAAGCTTCATGAAACTTCAGGATTAAGATCTAAACTCTTTCTGCCTCCAGCTAAGATCTGGGTCATGTCAGTTTGATAGAAAACGGGTTTTACTCTGTATTCTGTTCTCCTGCTTTTTTAATAAAATGGGAACTAATAATATATTTAGTCAGATACAAACAAAACGATGACGCACACAGGCTGAGTTTTTCCACATTAAAGCTCATCAGTTACGTGGAGAAAGTGACATTTTTGTTTTTTCCAGATTAGCAATTAATTCAAAAGGTCACATGCATATGCAAACCTCCAACATCACAGTTAAACAACATGCAGTCAGAGGCGCAGTAATCGGCAGCAATAACTAATAAAAACATACAGCTGAAACGCCTCGATGCTAATCTGCCACGCAACGCCGTTTGATTCATTCATCAGCATGACAACAACCACAATAATGAGCTATCTTGAGCGACCGGAAGAACAAGGAGTCCTGCAACAGATGGCGTTGCCCCCGCAGAGTCCTGATCTTCACATCGTGGAGTCAGACAGACGACACAGCGTACATCCAACAGAAGATGTGTTCACATCCAAACATTGATTCAGTGGGACCTTTTCCTAACTCTTCACGGCATCTTCCGTTTTAACGCTGAAAACATTCGCAGCCTCCATCATCAATAATCCAGAGACTCACACTCACATATTCACAAATACACACACAGAGCCAGAAATAGCTGCAGCTACAACATGCACAGACACGCAGACAAACTCTCCCGTTGCTTTGTACGTGTACGTGACCTCCGCTTTAGGAATTCACACTCGCACGTCTAAGCGATCTACCTCGTAACGCAATAAAGGAAAGCTGCGTATTCGAGTGAAAACGTCTCCAAATATAAACAATACAGTCATGCAGCGGACTGACTCAGAGCGACGGCCTGTTTGTTTCGGCCTATTTGTGTGCAGGAACAGAATCCACAGAGTTGCTAAAAACACTGGGCACCTGTTCCCCGGATCCCACTGGGAGAAATTCCACTCCTCGGTCGCCGTGTGTGCGTCTCAGTAACAAGAATGTTGACACTGGACTTTCCTGTCTCACGTGGACGCGGCGCAGCATCACTTCCTTTACGACCCTCCCCTATTTAAAGGCCGGTGTGGAGCCAGAGGGGCTTCAGCGGGGGATTAAAGCCAAAGTCCTCGCACTCTTCACACCAGCGGCTCACCCACTGACCGACTGACGGTGTGGAAGGTTTCGGGAGGTTCGGTGAAGCTCCATCGTGGCTGTAAAGGCGCATCTGTGACAGTTTGGGGAGTTTCATTTTTGCAAGTGAAGAGTTTTGAAGATTTTTGTCAGAATCGGCAACCAAAAGAAGCTGAAGATCCATTTAGACACAAGCGTTGCTGCTTTTTCGCCAGACGACAATCAGAACTTTTTTCTTTCAGTCTTGTGCACTGACTTTGGAAATACTTTGGCTTTCTTATAGAGAGACCCACACTGATTGAGAAAAAAAACAATACGAGAAAAAGATTTTTTGAAAAACGTCATCTGGAATCTTGTCACCATGAGTAGCGGTGGGACCTCCACTGTTTCACCACAGGAGCCGCAGGCTTTCAAACGGGCCGTACGGAAGATAAAATGCGCCGCCATGGTGGCCAACTTGGCCAAGAGCTGGCAGGGCTGGGCTAACGAGCACAGCGACAAGCAGGACTGCATCCCCAGCGGCTGGATGCCTTCATCTGTGGAGGAGGAAGACAAAAAAGAGCGCAACCATGTGGTCAAACTCACTGTTACCCCACGAGTGATCGCAGCAGACGCCGGCGAGTCCGGTGGGAATAAGATCCGAACCGGCTCCGTGACCAAGACTGTCCAGCCCAAACGCAGCGAGTGCAGCAGCAGCGACTTGGTCAACGCCATCCGAGGCAAGATGGAGTCGGGTCCTGAGGAGACTAAGCCGTTTCTGGGCAACGAGTCGCCAACACGGCGCCGCCAGATGAGGGCGCTGCAGAGCGCAGGAGGAGGGGTGATCCAGGACAGGAAGCACATGCTCCAGGAGAAGAAGCTCGGGTCGAGGAGCAGCAGCCTGGACACGGAGGACAGCGGGCTGGGGGAGGACGGCGGGCTCAGCGACAACAGCGAATCGAAAAACGAGCAGAACGACATCCAGCCCAAAAAACAGACCACCAAGGCCAAGGTAGAGTCAGTGAGCCAAACAAAACATCTAAACTTAATACTACCACAACATTCTGTAAAATAAGTTCAGCTTAATCCCATTATGGAGCTAGCCAAGTCAATAATGTTGCTTGAATCACCCATTATACGATTTATCCCAACTGTTCAGCTTCCCCGACCTGATTTCACTATTTAGGTCTTACAGGAAATTCATTAGTTGACCCAGTCTCTCTCTCTCTCTCTCAATCACTTATCAATAGAGTTTACAGTAGAAGCAGCAAGTTAGCAACCAGCTGGTGAACATGGTGACGAATGCAGCTGCAGAAGACCAAACCAAAAGAAGAGAGAAAATAATATTCATGAGGTGGCCTGTGACATGTTTGTCCAGTGACTGTTGGAAATGTAACGACAGATTCGCTTCAGCAACTTTATAAGGAGATGACACATCCATGTCTACTGCCAGATCTTTAAATAAATAAAACAGTAATTGAGTTAACTAACTACAAAGGCAACAAACAAACAAATAAAACAGACATTTGCTGCACAGCATCGATGCCTTCAGCAGACTTGCATCAAATCCAGTCCATAAGGAATGTCCTTCAGAATAAACCAAACAATGCAGAGGGAGGGGAAAGGTGGCTCGGGGCTACTTTTCGTAATTTGTCCTTATAAAATATGAAAAAACAAGTGAAAGCACAGAAGGCCAAACACTTGGCTCTTGTTTCTCTGGCTACCACCCAAACCTCTTATTTTGTGGTAGAGGTCATTTGTAATTGGTGCTTTGCGTGTTTGAGTGTTGTTAGCGACAGCCTTATGGAAGACCTAATGTGACCTTGCGTCGGCATCCTTTAATTAGGGAAAAAAGCGAACACGAGACGCACAATTTTCTGACGAGACATTTTGAGTTTCTCCTGCTTTTCCCCGAATCAAACGCACAGCAGATGATAAATGCCCTAAAATAGAGCATAAGTATTCCCACTCAAGTCACACAGCGTGAATAAACAAGTTTAAACAGAAGTGCCTTTGATGTCACCTGAAGAAATCCAACTCCCCCGTGGACACCAAACAGCGTAGCGGTTGCATAACTCCGACACTAAAACCTCTCCTATAAAAGGCAAAGGAGCCGGCCGGCCGGCGGTGGCGAGGTGGAGGTGGCTCGCTGGAGAGAAAGTCCAGCTCAGAAAAAGCACATTCTGGCCCGCGGCGCAATGGAATATATGTAAATAAATATAGTCACAGTGTGCAACGTGCTCTTCAGCCTGACCTTCAGGTGGAACAGTCAGCGGGAGGAAAATGGGGTGAAAGGAGAGAGGGCAGGAAGGGACATGGGTGAGAGAGCGGTAACACGAGCTGCAGAGACAGACGCGTACTGCAACGTGAAATATGAGAAAGTGCAATCTTATTTTGTAAATTTTATTAACATATATTCGACTGAGTTGATGGAATGTATTGCAAAGGTCATCAGAACTGATAAACGTATTGCACACGATAAATAACGTGCAATGAAGATGAAGAAATGATGCTAATCTCGGTCTGATTGACTAAAGAACGCCGTGTTTGTGTCACGAAGGCATCGCAGGATTATTTGAAAGCTGAGATTTTGATTTAGGAGTGCAGCTGATTTCTTGGCGACCCGGTCGTCAGTCTTTAAAATATTTTGGCCCCATGCAAATAAAGCAGCAGCTCTGCTTTGGTCTCCAGCAGCTCCTTGGAAACAGATTTGACTCTTTCGCGGCTAGATATTCTGCTTTCCTTCACAGTTTGACACTTCAGTTGCACAGACAGAATTTATTGCAGGGTTTTTATTTTTTTAAGCTTTTGGCTAAAATCAAATCCCTGCTGCAGCCGTTGATGCAGGTGAGAGCGGCACCAAGATATTAAACCAGTGCACGGTCAAGTCAAACGTGTCTGCAGCCATGTGAGGTGCTTTGAAACGTTGCACCGTACTCGAGTCGTGCAGTCTTTATCATAAGTTGTATAACTAAGAGTCCACAGCTGTGCACGTGGCATTAGGAAGCAGCGATTGGGCCAAATGCTATCAGTGTGCTAACATGCTCATAGCGACGAGCTTTAGCAGGTGTAATGTTTACAGTCTGGGTTTAGCATGTTAGCACATATCACTTACAAACTACATTTTGCACCTTTAATGCAAAAGTCTACTCAAAAGTGCTAAATAGACAAACATATGGCCACCTCAGTGTGAACTAAAGCAACATTCAAAAACCATGATTTTTGCATGGGTAATAAAAAAGGCTGCAGAATTCTCTAAGACTTACTGAAGCACTTCAATGAAAATGTAATATTAGCTCTTAAATATGTGCATCAAACATATTCACAGCAACTTAAACTGAACTTAAATATCAAGACAGGCTCCTTTCACAGGGCTACACTATCAGATTGATTTATACTTATGTCACAATATGCAAGAAAAAGTAAAATATATCCCTCTGGACCGCAGGGAGGTTGATGTTTAAATGAAAATGTGGAAGGAATCAAGGAAAAATAACACAGAAAATTAAGGATCAGAGGCATCATCACGTTTAAAGGTTGACAAAGGTTCGTGGAAGGTCCCTCGGTGGCAAGTCTTCACTTTTCATAGAGCAAATACCAAAGAGATCTGATGACACTGATCTGAAGGCCTGGCAAGCGAAGGAAAATACCGACAGAGGAGGGAGGAGAAGACATATGGTGGAAGAAACAGTGGGAAGAAGGGGAGGAATTAAATAGGAAGGGCAGACAGAGCAGATGAAGGAGATGGCGATGAGTAAGAGTATCAAGAAGAAAGAGGAAGACATGAAAACGAAAAGAGAGATGGGAAGATGCAGAAGGGGTTTTTATAAAATTTAGAAGTTTAAACTGTTAATTACTGGTGCTGCTTTCACAAAAATGTCAAAGTTAAAACCGTAGCAGAATCTATTTGCTGTAATAAATGCAAAAAAAACAGAAGTAAGCCTTAAAACAGTCCAAAGCAGCACCAGCTGACCATCTGTGCTGGTTTTAAAGCCTATTTCTGGAGGGTTGTAAAATGTGATTTTTGCTGGTTTATCTGGGTGAACATACCCCCCATTAGTCCGTCTGAGTGCAAAGCAAAGGCCAAGCCGGGGATCAAGTTCACCAACTGGAAAGGAGTTTATTTAAAGATTGAGGGTCAGTAATCAGCATTAATATATAACGGTCGGGTCAACGCAGAGAATTTAGGGGATCTGGAAAAAGTAGCAGCAGTCTTATAGCTTTAAGACAGGACACGGTAGGGAATATGAGCAAGGTGCAGCTCAGTCCCAGACATTTTTGCTTTTTAAGGAACCATAATTGGGTCGAGTCATGTTTTCAGCACTTGGATGAGGTGCTCGGGTCTAAAATGACAAACCTTCCCTCAGCTCTGACATCTGTTGCCTAAACCAACCAAACACTGGTGTCAGGATCTGAAATCCTAGTTCAAGGGGATTCTTAACTTTTTAACCCCAAAATAATGGTGCCAGAGAAACCAACCATCTATGGAGGAGGCTGAAGCAGACAAAGATTGCAACACAACAGACTCAAAACCAGAGTCAACCAATGTCAGCTAATGTTGAGTTTACATCCAGGACGCGGCAGCTGTAGACCTCCAGGTATCTGTATATTTTCTAAAAAGCAAAGGCTAGGATTTCCAGAAATAAGCTTGAACAACACTTTCTAGGAACCACTGCTTTCGTGTAAAAGTCCGACGCTTTGTCCACCCGCCCTCTACCCCAGCAAACTCCTTGCAACTCAGAAATGTAGAGCTTTATTTAACCAACACATTTCAGGCAACTCAAAAAAGAAGCTCTTTCCCTTTTTTCTCCCCATAAATAACTTCATTAGACTCCTCCTGTACTGTTACAGTCTGTTGTTTCAGCATCACTACAGGTTATTTTCTCCTGCAAAACACTGCACATCTGGCTTCATGAGTTAAGTAGTCGTCACTACGTGCATCTGAGGTGTCTCTTGAATTTAGAGCGTTATGTGTGTATTGTACATAAGATGCTTTGCTCATTTGTTTTAATGAAAATGACTGAATGGATCTTTGTAATGTTAAACCTGCAGATTAAGATTGCCACTATGGGTGACATCAAAAGCCGCTGGCAGAAGTGGTCCGAGCAGCACGTGGAGGGCCAGAAGCTCAACCCCTTCAGCGAGGAGTTCGACTACGACTTCGCCATGGCCCAGCGCCTCCGCAAGGGCGACTCCGGCTACGGTCGGCCCAAAGACGGATCCAAGACGGCCGAGAGGGGCGACCGGGCCCAGAAGCACATCCACAGGGAGATGGAGGAGATGGTGTGGATTATCAGAGACATGGGCTTCAAGGACAAAGAGGGGAGGACCATCATTAGCTTCGGCCGGCTCTTCGACCGCTACGTCAAGATCTCGGACAAAGTGGTGGGAATCCTGCTGCGCTGCCGCAAACACAAGATGCTGGACTTTGAGGGGGAGATGCTGTGGAAAGGACAGGACGATGATGTGATCATCACACTGAGAGACTGAGGACAGACATGATGTCTCACGAACATTCACACACATGCAAACACACGGACAAACCGGTCTATCCAAGGCTACATCATGCACAAGGAAAATAGTTCAAGTAAAAAAAAAAAGTCACGTACACTGGAAAAGAAATCTGATTTTCTCCTTTGATATTTTTTTCTGTTTATAAAATGCACTAAAATATCAATAAAAATACAAAAACGGAACGCATGTGTCTAATTAAAAACAACATCTGTAACTTTTAACAACCATAACATTACATTTTTTTAAGGAAGTTTGCAAATTCACAATTTGTAAATGCAAAAATATTAAATGTTCATTTAAGGTGAAAGTGTTCAATTAAAGTTTAATAATTTCATAAAAATATTTCAAAAATTGGATGCAATTAGTGACAAGAGATACTGGTTCAGTAATTGGATACAAATTTGCTTGTTAAATTAATATTTTTTTTGGATACTTACAGAAGCTTTCACAACAAAAAAATGTTGAATGACTGCGTTTTCATCAGTATAATATATATATAAGCATTTGTCATCTGTCCAAATGCAGCTTTCATTCATTATATCGGCTACATCATTTGTCCATCTATACATGTATCTATCCATAGGTTGTTTTTGTTTGTTTTTGTTTACACATGTAAATCCTGTTGATTAAACATCAAAAAGCAAAAAAGTACACATGATCTAATGTAAGTTGAGGCAAGAAAGTGCATTTTAATTTTAAAAAGTTAGTGTTTTTATGAGATTAGTAATTGTTGGTTATTTTACAGTATTTTTTGACGCTTCAGCTGCTGGAATGTTACCATGTTTGAGGGTTTTTTGTAAAGTGTACACGATGCTAGTTATATAAATAATACCCATACACGATATGCACAAAGAAAATGGAAACACAGACAAAATCTTTTTCAAAAACACACAAATTATTTATAACCATGAGTGTACACAACGAGGCCACACACACACACACACACACACACACACTCACACTGGACTCATTAGTTCTTCTCATGTACATGAGAGTGAAGGGAAGCTATCTTTAGCATGCTAACCATGCTCGCCTTGCTAACTATGCTACATGCTAGAAGCCTTGAGAAGCCACTATAATGCCAAACATGCTGGAAGGCTTCACTCGCATGAGTTATGAGCTCATCTCATAACTCATGACAGAATCTACGCCGCTTTATGTTGAAAATTAGGAAGTATGCATTTCAGTAAATTGTTCTGGAATATCAAGAGTTTGTGCCGTTAAATATATGTAAGCAGGCTGCAGTGTGAGCCAGTTAGAAAAGAGTTCAATTAATGTATTTTTTTTTTTATATTTTGTGTTATAGTATGTGTTTTATATGGAACATTTAAATTCACTGAATGTCTAGCAGTGACTGCACATTTGTTTCAAAAGCAATCAAAGCAGGAAAAGCACCAGTGAGGCCCATTTTGTTGATAACAGCAGCAACAAGGAACCTTCAACCACTTCATCTAAAACAGATCACAGGATTATGTATTCAACCTGCTACGACAGGCCAAAATGTCTGTTTAAAGCAGACTGAGTCCGTTTCTGGTCCCTCAAACCCAAAGAAGGAACCATTCGTTTACTCTGGACCACACTAACTATCTGTAAACTTTTCTAAATGACTGGTTGATTCAGAAAACATTGCAAAAACTCACACATTTGGTCTGTAAAAGGGAAAACTGTCGTAGCAGCACAGGAATGTGAATCTTAGTTGTTGATATTAAAGTTTATGCTTGAAAAACTTCTCATCTACTTGATGTCTGTGTAGTAATGTGGAGTAAAAATAATTGTATAATGAAATATGTTTTACCTCATTTGAGCATTTAGGACATCTACTGTAGGAACGCAATAAAACGGAACATTTTCTTCTTTCAAAGTGAAAGTCTGAGAGTCTTCTTACAGAAGGACAATATTAAAGTTGAGTTACAAAAATTGTGCAGGGCTGTGATTGTGGTTTATATCATTTTTGCTGTGGTTAAAGTGTCAACAAGCTACACAGGAGTCAATAAAGACTGAGATCTGAATGCTCATTTTGTTTTTCTTTGCTCCACCAGATCATGTGAGACTTTCATTTACTCAGTGAAACCTATTATAGGAAAGAAAACTTTAATAAAACAATCGGCGCTGCCCAAAGTCTGAAGATATAGGTGCTAGTTGTAACTCTACATTTCTGTCCAGTGACCTCAATACTTTCTTGGACGCTGCCCCAGACTCTGCATTCACTAATGTCACATGTACAATGAATTATGGACTATTCCCTGTGAAGAGTCCACCGGGTTGCACAGTTGCAAAAGAAAAAAAAATCCTCGAGGAAGTCTCTAGAAGTTCATGCCAGAGCCCTTAAGCGCTTGCTGATGCTGCAGTGAGACACTCTTAAGCCCCTTGTGGATGCTGTTGGCAGATCGCTGAGCTTCTTCACTTTTCATCCTCGCCGCTCTGCTCTCCCCTCCGCCACCGGAGAGGAGACGAGGGGAGGAAATGAGTGGAGCAGAGGAGCACCGAGGGAAAGCAGAGGCCATTTAGGACTGACGGGACTCTCTAGATGTCCGTTTGACGTGTCAATCACGACTGAAAGATTAAAAACGATGAACTTTTGACGAAGACGAGGGGAGAGTTTGCATTTGACACAGCTGACCAAGATGCATTTTGACTACCAGCTGGTTTTAACCCATTCTGAGCAACAGTTTATGGTTTGATTATCCAGAATTATAGCAGATATGAACAACATTCTGACTAGTCGCCAACTAGTCAGCATTTTTATTCAAGACACTGAAAACCATCATCTATAATTCTGACAGTAGAGATATCTGTAGTTTAGTTTTAACTCTCCAAATAACAGTGGCAGATATCTCAGACGTCAAGTTCTTGTGCATGATGCTGCTCAGGCTTCTCATTGGATACTGGTCCCAGGAAAGCATTCATTGTTAGCAGAAGTAATGGCGGCTGCTGTGGTGGATAAGATATTCAAATGATGTCAAATAAGAACTGATCAGCAAGGAGTTTCAAGAACGACTGACCGTTACAGTGCCATAAAACAACTCAATCCCGCCTCCAACTTGCCCATCAACAGATGTTTGCAATGTCTTTTCGCAAAGTCAAAACTATTTCCAGATATCTGTAAGTTGTCCAGCTGAAGATATCTACACCATTCTGTCCAAGTCAAACATAACTGAAGCTATCTAAAATGTAGATATTTTCAATTGAGGGAAATTAAAGATACCTTGACCCAGAATTACAACAAGACAGAAATAACCTTTAGACATCTGAAACTGGGGTTAACATCAGTTCATTTGCAAAGATCCACAGTGTGGACATCTACAGCTGGATTGTAGATGTCTGTAACGAGAAGCCCAGCATGCAAGTTTTACCTTCTAGCGTTTCATATTGAGCGGTCCAGTCTGTTGGATTTACAAAAACGTGACCAAATATCCTTTAAGTCAG